GAGACACTGCTGCAGGACCTCGGGCTCCCAGTGCTGTGCCACCTCCTCCAGGAAGCCTTCCATTCTGCCCACACTGTCGTCCAGCGGAGTCCTGAGCACCATGCACACGTCTCAGCCACACCCAGCCCAGACCCACCCCTCCAGGAAGCCTTCTGGGTGTCCCCGTGGGTGCCCGGGCACACGCACTGGGCTCACCTCTCACAGCACAGGTACTCCTGGGACTCGCGCAGGCTCTGCACATGGAAGCCCAGCAGCGCCTCCTGCAGGTCCCCAGGGCAGCCGGCACGCACGAAGTCCCGGAAGGGGCCGTAGACACCCTGCCAGCGGCTCTCCACAGGGAAGGCGCCCAGGCCCAGCTGCCTGCGATGAAGGCAGGGGGAGAAATGGAGCTGTGGTGGGCAGGACCCTGTCCAGGCCCCTGGAGAGTGGGGATAGCCAGCCTGGCCCAGAGTCAAGGCCGCACACTGACCAGCTCACCCCCTGGTTCCTTCTCCACCCAGATCTAAGGGGGAAGCACCCCCTGCCCTGGCTCCAGAAAGTTTCCTTCTTCACCTTGGCTGCCGGGGAACTCAGCTCGAGGACTGCTCAACCATAACTGTAAGGCCCATCTGCATCTCCCTTTCTTTCCGCTCAACTCACACTTTTGTTTTCTATTTTATTCTTGTTTTTGTTTGTTTTGCTTTATAAACTGTTTTGTATTCTTCCTAGAAAAATAGCAAGGTCTAAGCAAAGCCTACGTGTAATATTTTTCTCCAGTTTTGTGGCACATGGACTCATCGCCACATGGTCCTTGATTCCAAGTCTCTGAGTTCAGGGCTGTGTGCCCTGAGCTCCCTGATGAGACCTGTGCCCTTGGGGTGGAAACAGACACAGACACCCGATAGGCTCCGAAAGCTGGGCCAGAGGGCGAGGCTCTCACCTCTTGCAGGTGCTGCTTGGGTCGGGCGGGACGGTCGCCATGTCCAGAACGCCCTGGGTGTACAGTCCCCTCTGGGCCCCGCTGCCAAAGGAGCCCTCCAGGGTGAAGCCATAGGAGGTGAGCTTGCCCTGGAAGCCGGAGAGGGAAGCAGGCATGTCTGTCTACTGTCTGTCTGTCCAGGTGCCCTTCCATCCAATC